AGTTGAAAAATTTACCAAAGATGGTATAAATAATTGTATGCAGATGGTGTAAATGATAATCACGATATGGTTACCAACTGAAAGTGAAGGATGTAGCATCATTCGTTGAATGATCACTGCCTTCATACCGATCGTTTTAATGATTCGCCACATAATTATGGTCGTTGGTCATGACAGAAACATTGTGACGATAATGCGTGCATGATTTGTTTACGAGAAATAATCGAAAACAATAGAGAAGGCAAGTTAAGATTCGTTTGATGTTTCAAAGAATAAAAAATGACTCATAAATAGCGTAGTATCACCGTGATCAATTGACCGATGAAATAGCATGTTGTGTCACATGAACAATCAGTGTTTCACACAAACCATTCTATTTTTAAGATGTAAAATAAATTTACGTGTCCCATCGTCAGTCGTTCCATGCATTTCTCACCTCTCCTTACTCTAGCATCTTCTCACCGCCAACATCTCGATATTTCCATCGCCATCATCAAACCGGTTGCCTGTTTGTCTCACTCAACTTATTCCATAACAAATTTCTTAACTTCTTCACAAACAAATCATAAAACTGCAATGCAATCTGACACCAATAGCAGCTATCAATAACTGCCCAAACGCCGAATCTCGGCCTACCAATTCAGTCGCGCATCATATCACAAACTGTTTTGCTGTCCAATCTTGTCACACCTTATTATCACTAGCGATATACATCCACTCATCGCACTGATAAGATGGATTACACTGAATCAATAACCGATTCAACAGTGTCGTTATCGAACGTGAGCAGTCCTTTTTCAAACGTCGGAAGTCCTCCAGAAGCGCCCAATGTCGATTCGCAATTCGTCAATAAGCACAACATCTCGGCTGAAATTTATCAGGTGATCTCTCAATCTTCTACGATTTTATTTGTATGTTTGATGCAGTTGTCGATCTGAATCGACATCAAAGTGGGCACGAATTAACTTCGAGCTCAATGCACTTTGGATTACATGTAAACTACGTACATATCCCGTTCATTGGTGATGACTATATGCATGAGAACAGTCAAACTTACCCGTGTATGATTGGCAATGGTGAGTTCATAACTGAATAATTGATATGGATAATTACAGTTGTTCAAAGATGATGTCGATATGCTACTATCCGGCAAAGTACCGCCCAACGAACAGCCACAACTTATTTCGGTTTGTAGTTTTATTTGACCTAATCAGAAAATATTCATACTTTGACATCGGATAATTCGGAATGATGGAGCTGAGTTGAAGCAAACGAAGAGATCAATACTGATAATGATAATGAAGAGATTGATTGAAGAGAATCGTGAATACATCAATGGAATTATACACGGCATTGGAAGAAGAGAAACAATATCTGATGGGTGATGTGCTATACTCATGGGCTGCAAGGCAACAAAAACTTAGTATTGGTACTTTATGGACACAGCAAGTGCATTATCGGGTTCTTGACACCATCCATCAGCAGTTAGTTTGATTTGTTGTGTTTCTACCATTATCATTATTATTATTATTATTACTAATATTGCCATCACCATTGAATGAAGTCAATAATTTTAGATTCGAGTATTTCGGCGAGCTATTGGAACAAACGATGTCGGGAGTTAGATATCTACAAGAGAGATTTGGAGATGACACATTCAATTCGTTATATTCTAAGTTACAACAAATGGCGCATTACTTCTTGTACTATTCGATTATTGTATCAAGACAACCACCATCAGTGATCGTTAAATGTGGTGAGGCTGAGAACCATCGCAGGAGTCGATTTTGGTTCAATACTGAAATCAGGTTAGGAGAGGATGTTTTCATTCAATCCATTCATCTGAACGCAAATTTTTTGCTCTCAATCGATGGCATCATTATATTCGGTTGGTAGAGTGCCACGCAGAAACTAAGATTCAAAAAATTCATATCAGATAATTTGATTATTACTTTAAGCTTATGCATCTTTTACAATTGGCGATTCTAATTCTTTGATATGCCCAAACGAGTTAAATTTTTGATATGCATATGAGTGAAGAGTTTGCGCAAGTTTTCGAGTGCAGAAACGGACTAATTTGCAGAGTGCTCGGTGGTCATGCGTTTGGGGTGGATCAAGAAGGTGACGGTGTGGAGATAAAATGTTTCTTGATAACGGACGATACGGCGCGACAACTGTTGAACAATGCTTATCATGATATGTTAGTGAGTTATGATTTCAGAAAGCAGTTGCATTCATATCGTTGATTGATAAAGAGGTACGATTTTTGCATTCTGATATCCTTGAAGAGATCATCAAGAGAGATTCTTGCATCGTCTCAACTGATTTTCACCTCAATTTTAGTTTCGAGAACGAAGAATTTGCGATCGAACCTCCGTCGTCCGTATTTGAAAGCAAAGAAGGTCGAGGTGTGAAAGCCAAATTCGATGATATGGTTCGTGCTTTCTTGCAATTAGACTAATATTAATAACTGAATAATTGATGCAAGTTGTTCGATCAACGACATATATTGATGAGCGTATCTCTGCTCACTTACTGGATAATGAATCCACTCATTGATTTGATCTCAGTGACTGATACTTATTCGCGCTTTCGAATTTCAGCGTGTCGCTAAAAAGGGCCAACTGCGACGTGATTCAGTTGCAACGAAGCGATACTGCCTCTGCTACAGCATCAATCTGAAGGCAGCGCACGGTATCACCCTCATTGGTAAAAAGGTCTCGTTACCATTCGCTGTCTTGGTTGGTCCGAAGAGTGACGTGGAGGCGAGATTATTCTTGGAGAGATCTTTTGCTGATTTGGTATTTCTTATATGCTTTGATTACTTTTTGCTTTTATCAGTATGATTACTAATCTCCGTTACTGATCGAGGGAATCATCGATAATGAATAGATCAATGAATGTTATCGATAGTAGTTGAGCAGAATAAGATGTGACATAGAATTCCAGGTGAGACGTCCGTTGAGTGACATACCGACAAGTGTTGACTATCGTGAATTGGCGGATGCGTTGGAGATGAAATTCCAAGTAAGTTTTCTTATTGAACGATAAACGTTGAACATTGAAGTCAGTTGATGTTGTATGCGTCCATTCCAGGCGATCGTTGAAACACCTCAAAAGTCCACTGATGGTCCATCCATAATAAAACCGAGAATGTTCACTGATCACGTGAGTACTAACATAAAACGCTTATGAAGAATTGTTTGGTTAATCCACTTGATATTGATATCGGTTTAATATTTTCAATTGAAAAGTTTGATTGGTTGTTGGATATGCGATAATGTGAAATGCACCGTTAAATCGTTTCATCGAATAATTGCTATCCAATCCTGTCGAGAATTTCAGGAAAAAGAACACATTATCATGAGACTAAAACCAGACTCGAATGGCCAAGTGAACCTGGAAAATTTTTTGAAAGTAAGTGATAAGTACACGTACATTCAGTTTTCAAGTGATGCATCGAACCATAATGATCCTTATGGAAGAGTAATAAATGCTGACTTCAGTTAGCTGTTTGTCAAGAGTTCACAACAAAACGAACGTCGAGTGATGGCGAATGGAAATTGGTGGCATTCTTTGATTGGTTCTTCAAATTAGCCGAAATTGTGAATAAATATCTTTATCAGATGTGGATGGATGGGTATTGATTACTTCATTCAGGCATTTTATCACTTTGGCTTATGACCATCAAGATCAAAGTTTGAGTGGAGCAATATTTGAATGTGATGAATTCAGATTGGTGTATGGATTTTGTGGAAAAGATGAAGCAGAAGAGTTGCTGAGAGCGTGTCCTCGATCTTGTCTTCTTGTGCGATTCTCGGATGTAGAATATGGCAAAGTGAAGATCAGTGTTCGTTACGATAACGGAGGTAAGCAAATTCCATCTCTTTGCAACCTCATTCCACTTCAACTCATCGATTTTGCATGAGGGATTGATAACTGATGATTAAAATCTGAGACAGTGCTCTGTTTTCAGTGTTACAGCATCACTGGTATGACCATACGGATTTGAATGCCCGATCGTTGCACAAAGAACTGCTGTCGAACCATAAATTCTCCGGAATCGAATGCATATATCCCGAAATCAATCTCGAAACTGCACTCGGCGGTCGTCAAAGACATCACACCAATCGCAAACCACGGATACTGAACCCAACACCGGTTTATTTCGATAACCAGGGTGCTGCCAATTCTGCTTTTTGAATGAATTCTTTAATTCTATCGTTTCATTCGTTTGTAACGAATGTTGTGCCCGCAAAATGATCCATACATGCATCTGTGATAGCGTGTGACTTCGGAGTTGGTTAAAATTCTCTCGTTGAATCATCCACTGATT